AGTCTCTTTCATTTTTACCCCCTTGCCAATTGAATATTTTATTTTAAAGTTGATATTCATTTGACATTGAATTGCCTTAGGATTGAGTTAACTCTAAGTTGGATTAATAATAATGGTGTAGGTTTGCATTGTTTTAAAGGGCTCTTAGGCTTGAATATACTCAACGGCTGTCTGTCCTGATTAATTATAAATCGCAGGTTTCCACTGTTTTAAAATAAACAGTAGAGCACGATTGATTGAAGATCGTCGGGAGAAATGGTTTTGCTATTTTTAATTAATTATCGGTTACCAATATTCCCTTGTTTACCTTCGATCCCGAAGGTATCTACTGTACGTTTCAAACTGGTCAATATTAATTTGGCTACCGCTCAAATTGTAACTGGCTATTAGAAACTCAAACAGGAACCAATGAACGAACCAACGTGAAATTGTTATTTTATCATACATTCTGTATTTTCGTTTCAATTATTGATACAAAAGTCTTCCCGTTCATTCATTGAACTTTTCTTTTTAATATTCAATCGAAATTCGTATCAGAATTAAAATATACAGCTTCCAGTCTTAGAAAATGGCAATGTTAAAATTGTCTTTTTTATATAGAAATTTATAGAATCGAATTTATGGTGGTTGAAAATATTTGTACAGTTAAAGAAATAGTATATCTAGAACATATCCAAGATTCGTTTAAATATCTTATATTAATATCTCTAATAGTTATTGAAAAAAAAATTCAGTCAGATTAGAATTTGATGAAGCCACAATAGTACGACTGTATTTTATAGGAATAATTGTAGGTTGTAAACTATTAACACTAGACAGCTGAAATTTACAGTGAATATAGATGAAATCTCTATCTAGTATAATATGTCCGAAATTCGTTTAAATATCTCTAACAGGTTCTGGAAGAAAATTCTCAAATCTTGCAATCTTATAACATGTATTCAAAATTCCACTCACAATTACAGCTTGTGACAATTATTAAGAATAAGAGCTTGCATTTGAATTTTATACATAAATTAGAAGTTCATTTTCGAAAAAACGTGACGGTGTTTCATTGGTGGTGAGATGGGGTGGAGAATCATAAAAAAAATCAAATGTTCCGGTAGCGTGTGCGCTTATTTCGGGGGATAAAACTCGTGGATGCGAGGGAAGAATTTCGTTGGGGAATCGTATAAAACTGTACGGGTAATAGAAAACCGTGGAAGAAATTGGTATCCACCTACCTGTTATATAGGTGCGCCTGTTCCAGCGCACCAGGAAAGATTGCAAAATTCTCCTGCAAGTAAATAACAGCAGCATTCAATTAAAATTGCAAGTAGTGTATAAAACTAAAGATTGGCGACGAGAAGTCAATCGAAGGTTCACAATAAAACGATCTATAGAATCGAGGATTAAACACGGGTTCAATGGTGTATTGATTAACGATTTCGATTAACAATAATGAAAGGGCGCAGAGCGTGTAATGCTGGCCATTGTTTGATTGTAATGGACAATTTATGTCCCGTTAAATCTTCGTTTAACACGCTTTATGCGTCGCCGAACCGTGGAAACATATTTCATCCCTCGGTCTCGAAATTAATCTGACAATTATTATTAATCCGTTCGCTGTTAGAATAATTTCGTTCTTGTTTTCTTTACAATTCAAATTGTTAATAGAGATAGTCGTGTGACGATTATTGATTTCATTCAGTCATTAAA